AACTTTTTTCCTGCTAAAGTTACGCAAAAATGTGTAATGACAAAAAATGATTGCCTTGACCTTTTCTTTTAAACCATGTATCGCACATAGTGACCAGGTCACAAAAGGTCATTGACCTCGGTGACCTGTGACCTTTCCAAAAATATTTGCTGGAAATGTTTCACCTCAATGAAAAGAAACATTAGAGTATCTGAAATTCAGTTTTGCACTTGCAAGGTCACAGGTCACCGAGGTCAATGAACTTTTGTGACCTGGTCACTATGTGCGATACATGGTTAGAAAGAACAGGTCAAGGCAATCATTTTTTGTCATTATACATTTTTGCGTAACTTTAGCAGGAAAAAAGTTACGGGCGGTTAAATGTTGATTTGTGTAGGAAAATGCTCGGAAAACCACGTTTTTCTGCTTTTGACCTAAAATATCTTGAAAACGGAAAAAAACAGTCTCGCCAAATTTTAATATGTTGTTGACTACCAACTAGAGCAACTTTTGGCTATAATGGAATCAAAAATTTTTATGTACTAGGTACTTTGGTGGCGCATCAAAAAACTCAAGCTTAAAAAGTTGACCCTGAACTTTGACCTATGACCTTGGTTACTATGGCAAAGTTGTAGGGCGTCTAATTTCCTACAACTTTTTTTTTATACACACATGCGCTATCTGCAGCAGGAGCTGAGATATTTTTGATTTTCGAAAACACCTTTTTTAAAAATCCCCAACTTTGAGCCCCTGTAAAATAGGCAATTTTGAGAATTTTCAAAAATCCTTCTAAGCTATTTGTCTACACCCTAAGGGCAACCAAACTACCAATTTTCAACAAGATCCGCCGACCCCATGCCAAAAGTGGGTCCCGTTAAAAAAAATAATGCCAGCTATATTTGCGAGCCAAAATTAAAGGCATTATGTATACCTCGGAATCATATTTGCGGGCAACAAAAACGTGCTCATACTATGTTTGTTACTTAGAGAATGATGTAAAAAAATTCTCAAAAGTGTTGTATTATGTAAAACTTTTTAACCAAAAATATTTCATCGGAAAGGAAGTTAAATTAGTTGATGAATGCTTTAAATTACCATCAGGTGGTGCAGTGAGGCACTTAAAAAATTGTGTCACCACTAGCAAATTTGTCACTGCAAACTTGTCCTCATTGCAGTATCCTCTTTATAAAATTTTCAACCTTATTGCTGAGCCACCAAATTTGCACGAATTTAATTTATAGTAGTATAATATTAGACTACTATAGCATATATGCTCTATAATAATTTTCTGTATGATAAAAATTGTAATTATTTAAGGAATGGTCTTCTTAATTTATTAAATAATCCAAATGTATATTTTTGAAATGTATTTTGTGAAATTAAAAAGAAAAATAAAGAAAATTTTGAGTATTTCATATGGAACTAAATTAAATAATTTAATTTTTTCATCACCTTTGCGAAAAACAAGCCAAACGAAAATATTTCTTTTACCCAGGAAATGGAAAATTATACCATAAAAATTTGCAGAGTTCTGAAAAAGGACTAATGATTTTTTTGAAGTTGTGGAAAAGGACTAAAAGAGTTTATCAGAATCCTTTTAAATTACTTTTTAGTCCTTAAACCGAGAATAAGGACAAAAGTAAGTCCTTAAAATTATTAAAAGGACTTCTAAGTTTTATACGATTGTCCTTACTTTTTGAAAAAAGGACTATTATAGTACTTTTTCTTTGGAAAAAGACTAAAAAGTCCTTATATAAGTCCTTAAACATAGGGAAAAGGACATATTAGTCATTAACGTTTTCACCTGACAACAGTGACTAATGAACTTCTCTCAATCCTTAAATATGTTGAAAATTTTGAAAATTTCATTTTGGCTGGAGACTTTAATTGCCGACTGGATACTAAAAACAGAAAAATTGACTCGCTGCTTGATTTTGCTGAGGAAAACAGTCTGACAATAGTAAATGAATATCCATATAAAAGTACCTACGACTGTAGTAATGGTCATAGTGTGTTTGATTTAATCTTCAAAGGGCCAAAAATTTACACCGAAAATTTTAAAATTTGCCCAACCATAAGAAAACATAATTTTATTTCAATAGAATTTAATTTCACAAAACAAAAGAACAGAAATGGGGACATGTCTTTGAATAAGAAAAATTTTAAATTAGATGAAAACATACTTAAAGAGCTTATTGAGACTAAATATAAAAATATTCTAAGAACAAATCTGGAAAAGGGGGACGTTGAAGAGTTTTATAAAAATATGATAAATATTATGAAAGAGGCCGACATTCCTCGTAGGCAAACTGAACGGATTAGTCAACCGTGGTTTGATTCTGAATGCTACGAATTAAAACAGAAATTGAACGAATGGAGAGAGTGCTTGGAAGTGGCTGAAAGTTTAAATGTAACTAGTATAATCAAGATTCTATTACCGCACTATACCGCATTAAAAAGAAATTACAAAAATGTGTGTGAAATGAAGAAGAACGCTTTTGTGCAAATGAAGGAGTTGGACATTTTAAAAGAGGCGGAGCAGAATAAGTGCTATAAAATTCTCAAGTTGAGCAAAAGTTTTTACAATACAAACAATATATAATGATGGATGAATGGGAGTGCAATTTTGAAAAAATTTTCAACGAGAAAAAATTGAGTGAAAATGAATCGTTAAATCTGAAAGAGATGATAGTAGATTACAGAAATGATATAAATTTTTCACCTATTATGGAAGAAGAAGTTTTGTTAGCATTAAAGAAAATGAAAAACGGGAAATCCCCTGGACCTGACAAAGTGAAGAATGAAAATATTAAACTACTTGTTGAATCCTTACTCCCCGAAATAACGCAATTTTTCACCAAATGCTTGGAGCTAGGAACATGTCCAGAGGAATGGAGGCAGTCAAATCTAAAACTCTTGTATAAGGGAAAAGGGGACGCGGAAAATACAAATTCATATAGAGGAATATGTATTAGTTCGGCTTTTTACAATCTGTTAGATCGTGTACTGCATGCACGTATCTACTCATCTTTGATTCACGAGATTCCAGGCAATCAATATGGTTTTGTGAAAGGAAAATCCACTTTACAGGCAATTAAGTCCTTAGTTAATAACATTCAAGAGACAGTTTATAAGAAGAAATCACCCTTATATGCCTTATTTTTGGATGTAAGTAAAGCTTTTGACTCAATAGATAGGGCGTTTATTTTTAAGAAGTTAATAGAAAGCAAGAAGCTAACGTTCACGGAGTTAAATTATTTAGCTCACAACTTAGACTTAAATTTCTTGAGAATAGTAGATGGAGTAACAGTATCAAAACTTATTACACAATCAAATGGGGTAAGACAGGGGGGATGCACGTCCCCATTTCTGTTCAATTACTCTTTAGCTGATATAAATAATATTCTACGAGATTTGCCAAACGTGAAAGCCATTTATTATGCAGATGATATTGTTTTAACCTCAGAAAAATTAAGTGACTTGAAAATTGCTTTAGCCAGAATGAAAGAATTTTTGTTAAAACGCAGTTTGAAACTTAACTTGGAAAAGTGCAAATTCATGAAATTTAGAAATAAGGGTCTAGGAAAATATGCATTAAGTGACCGCCTAGATTTAGGTGGAATTGAAATAAAGAGAGTTGCTGAGTTTACATATTTAGGAGTTACTTTTCAACCATCAGGAATCTCTTTTGGAAAGCACATTGAAAAAAGAACAAGAGCTGCATTGCTGGCCACTTATAATATCGTTCATACAGCGGCTAAATGGACAAAATGAAATTTACAATTGAGACGTTTGGTTAGTTTGAAATTTTCAATATCAACGATTGGTCATTTCACGATTTACAGGCACGGGTGTTCTAATCGAGAAAAACAGCGTTATTTGTGTGTCAACGGGAAAGTGATTTTTGAGAGCGTCTAAAAAATGGAAATTTTGAGATTTCAAGGGTGGTCAGTCATGAAATCAGTTGATTTAATTATATTTATGCGCTAAAAGTGTAGGAAAAATCCGGATTTCCCGGAAAAGTGAGTTATAAGGAGGTTTGACAAAAAATTCATATCTCAGCTTCTAATTGAGATAAATTCAAAAACTTAAAGCGAAAATGCAGCTCAAGACATGCCCTTTCTCGGGGATGGGTAGGGATAATTTTCAAGGCCGTGTTTCTTAATGAGGGTGGGGTGATAAAAATTGAGGGGTTGTAAAACAAATGTTATGCAACTTGCAGAACGTTGGAAAAAATTACAAAGAAACCTCATCATATGAGACAACAACCCCTCATAGGGCGAATATTTCCTGCAACCCCTTAGTATTGTAATTAATTCTTGAATATGTGTCTCATATGGCCAAAATGGACCTATTTTGGGGATTTATTTTCAATACCAGGAGGTTGCAGGAAATATTCGCCCTATGAGGGGTTGTTGTCTCATATGATGAGGTTTCTTTGTAATTTTTTCCAACGTTCTGCAAGTTGCATAACATTTGTTTTACAACCCCTCAATTTTTATCACCCCACCCTCATTAAGAAACACGGCCTTGAAAATTATCCCTACCCATCCCCGAGAAAGGGCATGTCTTGAGCTGCATTTTCGCTTTAAATTTTTGAATTTATCTCAATTAGAAGCTGAGATATGAATTTTTTGTCAAACCTCCTTATAACTCACTTTTCCGGGAAATCCGGATTTTTCCTACACTTTTAGCGCATAAATATAATTAAATCAACTGATTTCATGACTGACCACCCTTGAAATCTCAAAATTTCCATTTTTTAGACGCTCTCAAAAATCACTTTCCCGTTGACACACAAATAACGCTGTTTTTCTCGATTAGAACACCCGTGCCTGTAAATCGTGAAATGACCAATCGTTGATATTGAAAATTTCAAACTAACCAAACGTCTCAATTGTAAATTTCATTTTGTCCATTTAGCCGCTGTATGAGCGATATACGAGAACTAAAACAATTATCCATTGAAACAGCACACAAGCTATTTGATCTAAAAATTTCCCCAATTGCGTTCTACGGCATTGAAGAAATATGGCCTTTCCTAACAAAGACTGATTTTGAAAATCTTGAAAAAGTCAAAACAAGATATTTAAAAAGAGTTTTAGGACTGTCCAAGTATATTAGATCTAGATTTGTGTATGAATTAGTTGACACTGATCTCTTTGTATCGGACTTACAGGTAAAATATTCTCTAACTGAAACTGAAGCATTCCAGAAATTTTGTGTGTCTAAATATTTAAACAAACTTGAGATATGTGATGAGTTCTACGAGACAGAAACTATGAAGAATAAAAATTGGCAATGTGCAATGTTCAGTGATCGCCAAGTGTTTACGAGATTTGCCTGTCACGGGTACCACTATTTATTTTGTAAGAATAAAAATTTTCATTCTCAAGCGACAATAGATTGTGAATGCAAGCACTGCGGTAAGAAATGTTCACAATATCATATTCTTGAATGTAATGAACGAAAACTAAGCCTAAGAGAGGCTGCAAAAATCAAAATTAACTAATTTTGTACTTTGTAATAATTATCGAAACAAGCTTAATTGTAAAATTAATTTTAGGAAGACAAATTAGCTTTAGACACCCGTTGTACACCTAGTTGTGTTCAATAAATACTCTATCTATCTAAATAAATTCCGACGATTCTAGCTCAGACAGTTTCTGCGGGACTTCTGCTAGTGACACAAGATTGGAAGTGGAAGACCATGAAGCATCTCATATTTGTAAGTTTATTTATTCCAATTTAAAACCTAGTACTGTTTTTTGTTTGTTAATTATTTGAATTAGAATTTGGAGCTCATGAAAATTTATTGATTATTTTTATTTTGATATCTAGCTGCAGAGCCATTTGACGTCGACGTCGACACCTCATTGGCATCAAATTTGGAATGTGAAGAAGATTTCTTGGACTACATCATGAGTGAGGATGAACCCCTTGAGAGCGACGATGAAGAGGCTAACTACGCGAATCGTGAGAATATTAGTGGGCAGAATACTTTACATGATTTTGATGAGTTGCAAAGGTTAGCAGAGGAATTGCTATTGAAAGATCCCTTATATGCTGGCTGTGACTTGACTTTAATCGAAACTTTGATACGGCTTGTGACTATATACAAAAAGCATTCGCTTCCAAAATCCGCCTTGGGGGAGATTATTTCACTTTTCTTTGATGCATTGCCTAAACCGTGTATATTTCCCTCTTCAAAGCACAATTTTTTCAAAATAATTAATCAACTAACTCCGGGAAATGAGACTCCTGTAGTTTCATATTCCTGTTCAAGGTGCTATGAACCTTTTACAAGCAAGCAAACTACAATATGTCCAAAATGTGAATCTTCACAATCACCTGCAGTTTGTGTCACAAATGACATTAAAACTATAATCAGACATATGTTTGAATGTAGAGGTCTGGCCACATTATTTGAAAAAAATGACAATAATTTAAACTCGAATTTAAATTCTTCAATCACTGACGTGATGGATGGTATTGTAAGCAAGAGGATAGAGAAATCAAGCAAATATGATCTCTATTTAATTCACAACACAGATGGTTTTCCATTTGCAAAAAGCAACAAAAAACAATTTTGGCCAAATTTTTTAGCTATTGGAAATATCCCACCCAAATTAAGATCAAAATTTATTGTTCTTGTCAGCATTTGTTTCACTCCAAATAAGCCAAATCTACTAAGATACATGATTCCGTTCGCAGAAAATATGCTTACATTAGGTACCGAAGGGTTCACCTGGAGACACCCTCTTACTAAGACTGATATAAAATCAAGGCTCTTCATTGTATCTAGCACTGTTGATGCTCAAGCAAGAGCACCTTTAATGAACATGAATTTTTATAATGCAGAATATGGGTGCTCATTTTGTGAAATTGAATGTACAAGTCGAGGAGAGGGACAAGGCCCAGGTAAACTCTATCCTTATGAAAAGTATGGCGGACTGCGAAAACCACTGACACGATCAAGGGAAAGATCTATTCAGCAAGCAAATTTACTATTTGGTGCTGCTCGAGAGGAAAGGGTTAAACAAGGAAAAGCGCATCCTGAACATGAAAAAGGTGTGAAAGGGCATTGCCCGTTTGTAATGCTACCACACTTTGATGTTATAAATAGCTTCTCTCCAGATTATTTACATTCTTGCCTCATTGGAGTGACAAAGAGATGGACAAAGCATATTTTGAACTCTCAAAATCACTCAAAACCCTTTTACATTGGCCTTATGTCTCATCTTGTAGATGAAAGAATAAAAAAAATTAGAGTTCCATCGTTTGTAACTCGGCTGCCAAGAGGATTGGATGATATATCATTTTGGAAAGCAAGTGAATATAGAAATTGGCTTCTCTTTTATTCGTTGCCGTGTTTAAAAGGAATTTTAAATGACAAATTTTTGTTACACCACGCCTTGCTAGTGGAAGCTATTTATACATTGGACAAATCAGTTGTATCACAAGCTGATTTACAATTGTCAAATAAACTATTAAATGACTATTGCTCTCAGTATGGTTCACTTTATGGCAGATTAGAAGAGACATTCAATTTACACATGCTTCTGCATTACACAAATTCTGTGGAGCATATTGGACCTTTATGGGCGTCTAGCACTTTTATTTTTGAAAATGCAAATGGCACAATGAGAACCTCAGTGCAGGGGAAAAATAATATTGCTTTGGAATTAGTGAATACAAGCCAAATCCATTCAGCTTTATATACGCTTAATCATATATATGCATTAGAAGATTTACAGCCAGAAAAGTATTCATTTTTAGGAGCGAAAATCCCCTTTGAGGTAATAGCCAAAGAAGACCAAGTCTGCTTGCAAATTATAAAACTGTGTAATGCCTTGCAAACAGATGTCTTTAATATTGAGCTATATTTGCGAGCCAAAATTAAAGGCATTATGTATACCTCGGAATCATATTTGCGGGCAACAAAAACGTGCTCATACTATGTTTGTTACTTAGAGAATGATGTAAAAAAATTCTCAAAAGTGTTGTATTATGTAAAACTTTTTAACCAAAAATATTTCATCGGAAAGGAAGTTAAATTAGTTGATGAATGCTTTAAATTACCATCAGGTGGTGCAGTGAGGCACTTAAAAAATTGTGTCACCACTAGCAAATTTGTCACTGCAAACTTGTCCTCATTGCAGTATCCTCTTTATAAAATTTTCAACCTTATTGCTGAGCCACCAAATTTGCACGAATTTAATTTATAGTAGTATAATATTAGACTACTATAGCATATATGCTCTATAATAATTTTCTGTATGATAAAAATTGTAATTATTTAAGGAATGGTCTTCTTAATTTATTAAATAATCCAAATGTATATTTTTGAAATGTATTTTGTGAAATTAAAAAGAAAAATAAAGAAAATTTTGAGTATTTCATATGGAACTAAATTAAATAATTTAATTTTTTCATCACCTTTGCGAAAAACAAGCCAAACGAAAATATTTCTTTTACCCAGGAAATGGAAAATTATACCATAAAAATTTGCAGAGTTCTGAAAAAGGACTAATGATTTTTTTGAAGTTGTGGAAAAGGACTAAAAGAGTTTATCAGAATCCTTTTAAATTACTTTTTAGTCCTTAAACCGAGAATAAGGACAAAAGTAAGTCCTTAAAATTATTAAAAGGACTTCTAAGTTTTATACGATTGTCCTTACTTTTTGAAAAAAGGACTATTATAGTACTTTTTCTTTGGAAAAAGACTAAAAAGTCCTTATATAAGTCCTTAAACATAGGGAAAAGGACATATTAGTCATTAACGTTTTCACCTGACAACAGTGACTAATGAACTTCTCTCAATCCTTAAATATGTTGAAAATTTTGAAAATTTCATTTTGGCTGGAGACTTTAATTGCCGACTGGATACTAAAAACAGAAAAATTGACTCGCTGCTTGATTTTGCTGAGGAAAACAGTCTGACAATAGTAAATGAATATCCATATAAAAGTACCTACGACTGTAGTAATGGTCATAGTGTGTTTGATTTAATCTTCAAAGGGCCAAAAATTTACACCGAAAATTTTAAAATTTGCCCAACCATAAGAAAACATAATTTTATTTCAATAGAATTTAATTTCACAAAACAAAAGAACAGAAATGGGGACATGTCTTTGAATAAGAAAAATTTTAAATTAGATGAAAACATACTTAAAGAGCTTATTGAGACTAAATATAAAAATATTCTAAGAACAAATCTGGAAAAGGGGGACGTTGAAGAGTTTTATAAAAATATGATAAATATTATGAAAGAGGCCGACATTCCTCGTAGGCAAACTGAACGGATTAGTCAACCGTGGTTTGATTCTGAATGCTACGAATTAAAACAGAAATTGAACGAATGGAGAGAGTGCTTGGAAGTGGCTGAAAGTTTAAATGTAACTAGTATAATCAAGATTCTATTACCGCACTATACCGCATTAAAAAGAAATTACAAAAATGTGTGTGAAATGAAGAAGAACGCTTTTGTGCAAATGAAGGAGTTGGACATTTTAAAAGAGGCGGAGCAGAATAAGTGCTATAAAATTCTCAAGTTGAGCAAAAGTTTTTACAATACAAACAATATATAATGATGGATGAATGGGAGTGCAATTTTGAAAAAATTTTCAACGAGAAAAAATTGAGTGAAAATGAATCGTTAAATCTGAAAGAGATGATAGTAGATTACAGAAATGATATAAATTTTTCACCTATTATGGAAGAAGAAGTTTTGTTAGCATTAAAGAAAATGAAAAACGGGAAATCCCCTGGACCTGACAAAGTGAAGAATGAAAATATTAAACTACTTGTTGAATCCTTACTCCCCGAAATAACGCAATTTTTCACCAAATGCTTGGAGCTAGGAACATGTCCAGAGGAATGGAGGCAGTCAAATCTAAAACTCTTGTATAAGGGAAAAGGGGACGCGGAAAATACAAATTCATATAGAGGAATATGTATTAGTTCGGCTTTTTACAATCTGTTAGATCGTGTACTGCATGCACGTATCTACTCATCTTTGATTCACGAGATTCCAGGCAATCAATATGGTTTTGTGAAAGGAAAATCCACTTTACAGGCAATTAAGTCCTTAGTTAATAACATTCAAGAGACAGTTTATAAGAAGAAATCACCCTTATATGCCTTATTTTTGGATGTAAGTAAAGCTTTTGACTCAATAGATAGGGCGTTTATTTTTAAGAAGTTAATAGAAAGCAAGAAGCTAACGTTCACGGAGTTAAATTATTTAGCTCACAACGTAGACTTAAATTTCTTGAGAATAGTAGATGGAGTAACAGTATCAAAACTTATTACACAATCAAATGGGGTAAGACAGGGGGGATGCACGTCCCCATTTCTGTTCAATTACTCTTTAGCTGATATAAATAATATTCTACGAGATTTGCCAAACGTGAAAGCCATTTATTATGCAGATGATATTGTTTTAACCTCAGAAAAATTAAGTGACTTGAAAATTGCTTTAGCCAGAATGAAAGAATTTTTGTTAAAACGCAGTTTGAAACTTAACTTGGAAAAGTGCAAATTCATGAAATTTAGAAATAAGGGTCTAGGAAAATATGCATTAAGTGACCGCCTAGATTTAGGTGGAATTGAAATAAAGAGAGTTGCTGAGTTTACATATTTAGGAGTTACTTTTCAACCATCAGGAATCTCTTTTGGAAAGCACATTGAAAAAAGAACAAGAGCTGCATTGCTGGCCACTTATAATATCGTTCATACAGCGGCTAAATGGACAAAATGAAATTTACAATTGAGACGTTTGGTTAGTTTGAAATTTTCAATATCAACGATTGGTCATTTCACGATTTACAGGCACGGGTGTTCTAATCGAGAAAAACAGCGTTATTTGTGTGTCAACGGGAAAGTGATTTTTGAGAGCGTCTAAAAAATGGAAATTTTGAGATTTCAAGGGTGGTCAGTCATGAAATCAGTTGATTTAATTATATTTATGCGCTAAAAGTGTAGGAAAAATCCGGATTTCCCGGAAAAGTGAGTTATAAGGAGGTTTGACAAAAAATTCATATCTCAGCTTCTAATTGAGATAAATTCAAAAACTTAAAGCGAAAATGCAGCTCAAGACATGCCCTTTCTCGGGGATGGGTAGGGATAATTTTCAAGGCCGTGTTTCTTAATGAGGGTGGGGTGATAAAAATTGAGGGGTTGTAAAACAAATGTTATGCAACTTGCAGAACGTTGGAAAAAATTACAAAGAAACCTCATCATATGAGACAACAACCCCTCATAGGGCGAATATTTCCTGCAACCCCTTAGTATTGTAATTAATTCTTGAATATGTGTCTCATATGGCCAAAATGGACCTATTTTGGGGATTTATTTTCAATACCAGGAGGTTGCAGGAAATATTCGCCCTATGAGGGGTTGTTGTCTCATATGATGAGGTTTCTTTGTAATTTTTTCCAACGTTCTGCAAGTTGCATAACATTTGTTTTACAACCCCTCAATTTTTATCACCCCACCCTCATTAAGAAACACGGCCTTGAAAATTATCCCTACCCATCCCCGAGAAAGGGCATGTCTTGAGCTGCATTTTCGCTTTAAATTTTTGAATTTATCTCAATTAGAAGCTGAGATATGAATTTTTTGTCAAACCTCCTTATAACTCACTTTTCCGGGAAATCCGGATTTTTCCTACACTTTTAGCGCATAAATATAATTAAATCAACTGATTTCATGACTGACCACCCTTGAAATCTCAAAATTTCCATTTTTTAGACGCTCTCAAAAATCACTTTCCCGTTGACACACAAATAACGCTGTTTTTCTCGATTAGAACACCCGTGCCTGTAAATCGTGAAATGACCAATCGTTGATATTGAAAATTTCAAACTAACCAAACGTCTCAATTGTAAATTTCATTTTGTCCATTTAGCCGCTGTATGAGCGATATACGAGAACTAAAACAATTATCCATTGAAACAGCACACAAGCTATTTGATCTAAAAATTTCCCCAATTGCGTTCTACGGCATTGAAGAAATATGGCCTTTCCTAACAAAGACTGATTTTGAAAATCTTGAAAAAGTCAAAACAAGATATTTAAAAAGAGTTTTAGGACTGTCCAAGTATATTAGATCTAGATTTGTGTATGAATTAGTTGACACTGATCTCTTTGTATCGGACTTACAGGTAAAATATTCTCTAACTGAAACTGAAGCATTCCAGAAATTTTGTGTGTCTAAATATTTAAACAAACTTGAGATATGTGATGAGTTCTACGAGACAGAAACTATGAAGAATAAAAATTGGCAATGTGCAATGTTCAGTGATCGCCAAGTGTTTACGAGATTTGCCTGTCACGGGTACCACTATTTATTTTGTAAGAATAAAAATTTTCATTCTCAAGCGACAATAGATTGTGAATGCAAGCACTGCGGTAAGAAATGTTCACAATATCATATTCTTGAATGTAATGAACGAAAACTAAGCCTAAGAGAGGCTGCAAAAATCAAAATTAACTAATTTTGTACTTTGTAATAATTATCGAAACAAGCTTAATTGTAAAATTAATTTTAGGAAGACAAATTAGCTTTAGACACCCGTTGTACACCTAGTTGTGTTCAATAAATACTCTATCTATCTAAATAAATTCCGACGATTCTAGCTCAGACAGTTTCTGCGGGACTTCTGCTAGTGACACAAGATTGGAAGTGGAAGACCATGAAGCATCTCATATTTGTAAGTTTATTTATTCCAATTTAAAACCTAGTACTGTTTTTTGTTTGTTAATTATTTGAATTAGAATTTGGAGCTCATGAAAATTTATTGATTATTTTTATTTTGATATCTAGCTGCAGAGCCATTTGACGTCGACGTCGACACCTCATTGGCATCAAATTTGGAATGTGAAGAAGATTTCTTGGACTACATCATGAGTGAGGATGAACCCCTTGAGAGCGACGATGAAGAGGCTAACTACGCGAATCGTGAGAATATTAGTGGGCAGAATACTTTACATGATTTTGATGAGTTGCAAAGGTTAGCAGAGGAATTGCTATTGAAAGATCCCTTATATGCTGGCTGTGACTTGACTTTAATCGAAACTTTGATACGGCTTGTGACTATATACAAAAAGCATTCGCTTCCAAAATCCGCCTTGGGGGAGATTATTTCACTTTTCTTTGATGCATTGCCTAAACCGTGTATATTTCCCTCTTCAAAGCACAATTTTTTCAAAATAATTAATCAACTAACTCCGGGAAATGAGACTCCTGTAGTTTCATATTCCTGTTCAAGGTGCTATGAACCTTTTACAAGCAAGCAAACTACAATATGTCCAAAATGTGAATCTTCACAATCACCTGCAGTTTGTGTCACAAATGACATTAAAACTATAATCAGACATATGTTTGAATGTAGAGGTCTGGCCAC